ACTCAGGACCTTGTGCTTTTAAAGCAGGCGGCAGAACAACTGAGCTAAATCCCCGGCCCTTGATCTAGGATCCAGCTCTACAACTTACTGGGCTCGTAGCTGAGATTACAGATGTGTGCCACTCCCTGGCTCAAACTCTTTTTTTTGGTACCGGGGATCGAACTCAGGACCTTGTGCTTTCAAAGCAGGTGGCGGAACCACTGAGCTAAATCTCCGGCCCTTGTTTTTGAGATAGGGTCTCACTATGTAGTCCAGGCCCGCCTTGAATTAGTGGCGATCTTCCTGCCTCAGACACCCAAGTACTGAGATTATAGGCATGCATCACCATGCCTGGTCAGTTTTTTCTTTTTGAGACAGGTATCTAGGCTCCTTTTTCTCCCAAGATACAGATGGGTGGGTAGCATCAGTCCTTAAAAGCTCCATGTCTTAGGGCCGGGGATTTAGCTCAGTGGTTCCGCCGCCTGCCTCGAAAGCTCCTCGAAAGCACTGCCTGCCAAAGCCCAAGGATCTGAGTTCGATCCCCATACCAAAAAAAAACAAAACTCCATGTCTGCCTGACCACCTAGTTATAACTTGAACAGGAGTGTTTGTTTTGTCTACACCATCCTGGTTCCTAGGCATGTAGGGTGTGTGAACAAGATGCATCCCTGCTCTTCAGGGAGCTTATGTTTGTTTTGTACCCTGGATAGCAAATTTCTGCCTATGTAGCAGGTTAAATGATGCTGACTTGTTACCTCACAATCTCTAGGCCAATGGCCTGGTGCTGTGGGTTCATGGCCCCCTGAGGTTGTAATAGAGTAGCACCTCTTGAGCCTGTCATCTCAGGCTGCAGCCCCTCTTCGAGCTCACCAGTTGTTGGCAGGACCCTGTTCCTTGGGGACAATCACTCCTGCCTTGGGGCCCTCTGCACATAGTAGTTGGCTGCTGTGCTGGTATGGATTGAGTACACATGTTTTTGGTGGCACTGGGAATTGAACTGAGGCCCTTCACACTGAGCTAATCCCTAGCCCTTTTTATTTTTATTTTTTAATACTGAGATAGGGTCTCAATAAGTTGCTCAGGCAAAGCTCAAATTTGGGATCCTACTCCCTCAGCCTGAGAGTGATGGAATGACAACTATGTGCCACCACACCCAGCCATCATCTCCCTTAGATTGACCCAGAGGCCTCTTATCAGGGACCTGAATTTCAGCTGCAGAGTTTCTTGTCATTGTCACATGACCTAAGCTTGGGAGTTACACCCTCACTCAGGGCAGTGTTACCCAGTGTGTTCGCCCCTCCTGCAATCTGCCTATGTCCTTGGCCATGCGAAGCCCTAGTGGGTTACTGCACTTGATGCTGTCCATGAGCCGAGGGGCCCAGCACAGAGGGACCCACAGAGCCAGGTGTGGACAGGCAAGAAGTCCACACCCGGGTGTGAAGGAATGTGCCAGGTGGTGGTGAATGTATTGAGGTCCGCACCCCAGACAGCCTCTGTCTACTGTGCTCTGCCGTTGCAGCCACAGACTGCACAAACAAACAAGCACGGCTTTGTGTGCAGATTTGCAGCCTAGTCCGTGCCTCAGGGGTACAGGAGCAGAGTGCTGGGGGGCAGATGCCATCCTGTGGAGCAAGTCCCAGGGAAAGGGAGCCAGTAGCACCCTGAGTGGTGTGTGGGGGTCCTGGAGACCACCAGAGGATGAGAAGAGGTGAAGGACAGCAGCCTGGCAGCATCTGGGGTTCCCAGAGCAGAAAGTCACCTGTGGAGCGGTGGCTGAGATGCATCTAGATTGCCTGTCAGGCAGGACAGGCAGGCCTGGCAGAGACACTGGGCTCATCCCTTCTCAGGCTGTCACCGGATATGGCAGATGCGGCACCTAGCCAAGGAGCCATAACCTAGGACAGCGAAGGTCCAGGAACAGAGGAGCCCAGGAGAGAAGGGCACAGCGGCTACATGCAGTGTACATGTACTGTGTGACCAGTGAGGGGCATTTCTCCAAGAGCCACTGAGGACCCTCATTCATCAGGGACCCTGCTAGGCACTGGGTTCTTCGGGACCAGGCAGAGGCCCCAGACCCAGAAGTGGAACCCTAGTGCCTGGAGCCAGGTGTTCCTGGCACCACACACACAGGGGATGGAACCCACCCAGGGCCTCGTGCATCCCAAGCAAGTATTCTGCCACTGAGCTGCACCCTCCTCCCTAATCCCCAGCCAAAATTAACCATATTTTTTGTTTGGTACCGGGGATCGAACTCAGGACCTTATGCTTGCAAGGCAGGTGCCAGAACCACTGAGCTAAATCCCCGGCCCAAAATTAACCATTTTTAAGTGTACTATTCCAGGGCATTAAGTAAGTCAACTCACAGTGGCAGCCACCACCACTATCCATGTCCAGAACTTTCTCATCTCTCAAATTGAAACTGTTCCCATTATGCGCTAAGCCCTGTCCCCTCCCCAGCCTCAGAACCCCTGAGTTGACTTCCTGTCTCTGGGTTCTCCTGTGCTGGGCGTTTCCGGTCCATGGAGCCCCACGCTGTGAGTCCTTCTGTGTCTGGGGTCTCACTGAGCACAGTGTCCTCAGGGTCCATCCAAGCTGTGACGAGTGTTAGCTTTTCATGCCTTTTTAAAATTTGTTTTTAATTGACACATGATCCTTTCCCATAGTTACGAGGTCTGTGCAATACGTCGGTCGTGTACAGTGTGTGGTGAGCAGACTGGGGTAATTAGCGTGTCTGTCACCTCACCCATCTACAGTTCCCTTGTTGGAGACATTCCGAGTCTGCCAGCTATTCTGAAATATACAATAAGTCATTGTCGCCCGTGATCATCCTGCTGCACTGCTGAGCCTCAGAGCTTGCAGCTGTGACTTTGTACCCATCACCGCCCTCCCCTGACCGCTCCTTCCCTCCTGCTGGCAGCCCAGCGTTCCAGCCTCAGTACACACTGCTGCCTGTTTTAAAATAGCTCCCAAGCTGAGAAAGGTTTTGACCATTTTTTCATTTGTTTTTTCCTTTGGTTTTCTGAAACTAGAGTCTTGCTATGTAGTCCAGGCTGGCCTTGAACTCACTATGTAGCTCATGGTGGCCCTGAACTCTTGGTGATCCTCCTGCCTCAGCCTTCCAAGTGCTGGGGTTACAGGCATGCACCACCATGCCCAGCTTGGATTTTATGATTTTTAAATCATCAAAGAAAGCCTAAAGAAGATCTCATGTCAGCATTCACGTGTCAGTGTCCACAGATAAAGTTTTTTTGGGTTTTTTTGGTACCAGGGATCAAACTCAAGACCTTGTACTTGCGAGGCAGGCGCAGTGCCACTGAGCGAAATCCCCAGCCCCTCGTAAAGTTTTATTGGCACACAGCCCACTGCACTGACGTATTCTCCATGTCTGCCTCCACACCGCCAAAGCACAGCCCAGCAATGACAGACACCAGGTGACCCGTAGAGCCTGATACACTGCCCATCAGGCCTCTGCAGAAGGTATTTGATGACCGTCTTCTGGCATCCAGGGGCCCCTTCAAGTGCCCCTGTCCTGGGGATGGATGCTGACCTCACTCCCCTCTCTCGGTTTCCTTCTCTTCCCGTTGCTTTTTCCAAGCCAGTGGAATCCTGAAGGGCTTCGACCCACTGCTCAACCTCGTGCTAGACGGGACCATTGAGTACATGCGAGGTGAGCTGGGCCTGCCCTGTCCTCCAGCCCCCTCCACTGCTTCCAGGGGACACCAGGGTGCCTGTGATCAGATGGTAGCCGGCAGGTCGGCTCCCCCCCCCCATCCTGGTCCTGGGCCACTGGCACAGCCGAAGAGCTCCCCTGTAGGACTCGGGAGATCCAGCCCTGTCCGCCAGGCCTCTCCTTGACCTTTCTTTTCACCCCTATACTAGAGATGGGGCTTGGGGCCTTCACACCGAGCTGCATCCCCAGCCCTTTTTATTTATTTTTTTGGTACCGGGGATCGAACTCGGGACCTTGGGCTTGCACAGCAGGGCCACTGCACCCCACTCTTACTGATCTTTAAGCATGGTGAGGTACTCGGGCTGTGGTCATAGAGCGGTGTTTGCTGTGAGACCCCAGCTTGGCAGCTTCCCTTGGTTACCCCCTTCTGCACAGCCCCTTACCCCGAGGACCCCCTTGCTTCTCTGCCCTCAATGAGCCCCCCACTCCCGTCCTAGCCACTACCATCAGCCCCCACCCCCAGCTCAGCCCCTTTGAGCATTTGGGAACACCGAGGCCTGGAGGGAGAGGGAGGCTCTGGTCCCCGGGTCTCGTCCATGTGGCTGGGACAGGCTCTGCTGTCCTGGAAATTTCAGCATCTGAGTGCGCCACAGAAGTGGGGGCCTGGCAGGGCTTGAGGCTCCCTGTGCCACCCCCAGGGAGGCGCCTTGCCCTGGCTCTGTGCTTCCAGCTGGGTCTATCTGGTTCCCAGGACACCACGCTGGCCAGGCCCCCTGGACAACCGCCTCTCCCAGCCCAAGGGTCCTTGGGAAAACACAGGAGCTACCTGGTCCCCGCAGTGGTAGCCGTCGTCCCCCCTCTTGCAGGGCCAGCACGTGTCAGCAGCCACAGCACCCCTGTGCTCTGTACACCTGTACCCAGTGTCACCCCAGCCACCAGGCCCTGGAGCCATCGTGCCTCGTGGGAGGGTGGGAGCTTGGGGGATAGAGCTAGGGCCTGAACCACATCGGGAATCCAGTATCACACTCTAAGCCACCTGGTCCTCACCTGCTCCCAGTTCTTTGTGACAGTGACAGATTTTTAATGGCCTGCAACCTCAGAAGAGCCCAGCTCCAGCTTGCTGTCCCTCACCATGGGACAGTGTCACTGATAATAGAGTGAGCGATACTCGTCAGGGGTCCTGGGGCTCTCAGAGTCCTGGAGTCCAGGTTGCTGTCATTTCCACCCCCTGTGCACAGCCGTGGTCCTGGTGAGCCTGTCGGCTCAGGTCCCTGTGACCTTGATGAGTTCCAGAGCCAAGGCACCCTGAGTCCCCTGGGCCTCCTCGCTCCCATAGGCCCTCGTTCCAGGTGGCCTGGAAAGGTGAGGTTCCCAGGCTGCAGGTGGGTGACCGAGGCACCACAGTAAACCCCGTTGTGTCCCGCAGACCCCGACGACCAGTACAAGCTGACGGAGGACACGCGGCAGCTGGGCCTGGTGGTGTGCCGTGGCACGTCGGTGGTGCTCATCTGCCCGCAGGATGGCATGGAGGCCATCCCCAACCCCTTCATCCAGCAGCAGGACGCCTAGCCGGCCTCGGGGCGGGCAGAGAGGTTGCCTTTTTGTATAGGTTGAATTTTTGTTTTCTTAATAAAACTGCAAACCCCAAGCATTGGCACCCTGGCTCTTGCATTTCCAGCCTGGTCCCCAAGGAGGGTGGGTTTTCCCGGGACTCAGTTCAGCCCCCCAGGTTTGTTGAGCACTGGCCACAGTCTGAGCTGGGAACAGGAGAGAGTTTCCGAGGTGACCCAGGTGGGCTAGGCACTTCCGTCCCTGCCCCCATGCACCACTGGTCTGCTGCCGTCTGAGGCCAGCTCCCTGTCATCCCACACAGCAGGTCCCAGCCCGCACTGGCTTCTTGTCCCAGTGCCCCCAGTCCTGCCTGCTGTGGGCCCCAGTGAGATCTTCCTTCGGCCCTTTCTGGCTCCTCACTAGGCCAGAGTCCCCATTAGGAGCCTGCCCCCAGACCCTGCATCCCCAGAGGAGCAGCTGAGGAGCAGGTGTGTCTGATCCTCACAGGAGACTGGCACAGCAGAGAGGTATCACTTCTGGCTGTGCTAGGGGCTTGGGGGTGGTGAGGGTTGTCCAGGCAGGAACCTGCCCTTGATCCCCTATCTCACAGCTGGGGACAGGGAAGCAGGCTGGATGGGAAAGGAGCTCAGCCCCCAGGGCCTGGGTAAACTGAAACCTAAGGGCTTCGGGCTTATCACAGGCATCTAAGTCCTCATCCTTCCCCGCCCCTCCACCATCTGGCCTGGCAGAGGCCTCATGGAGGGGGCTTATCCACGGGCGTCACAGCCCCAAAGAAGGGCAGCCCAGCGCTGTGACATTCAACCCAGCAAGCCCCCACCCCCGTGGCCCTTTCACAGTGGGGAACCAGGGCCAGAGCAGGGCTGCCACATCGTGGAAGGACCGAGAGCCAGGGCAAAAGAGCTGGCTGCCTCCTGGGGAGAAAGCAGGAACTTCCCACCTTTAGCACCTGGGACACCAAGCGGGCATTGGGGGATCCCAGCTTTTCTCACAGAGACACAAGACTTGTTCCTGTGCACCTCAAAACAGCCCCCCAGGGCTGGGGATGTAGCTCAGTGGGGCCACTCCTGCCCGGCAAGCACAAGGTCCTGAGTTTGATTCCCGGCACCAAAAAAACAGCCCCTCAGAGTGCCACACCCACTCTGTCAGCCCCAGTGAGCCAATGGGGGCAAAAGCCATCCTGTACGACGCAAGTCCTCAGCTCCCATCTCCCACCACCAGCTGGGAGGTGTAGGGTGAGTGTTCCAGCCTCTCCAGTTCCAACTCAGGCTCAGGGGGGAGACAATATCCTATCCACAATGTGGACGGAGCCTCGGCCTAAGAGCAGCAAGCCCTGTGCCCAAGCCCAGAGACAAGCCAGATGGCATGAGGCCCAGACAGACACAAATCCCAGGGACTAAGGCCACACTCCTCAGAAACAGGCCTAAAGTGAGCCACATGTGGTGGTGACGCCTGTCATCCCACCACTCTGGGAGGCTGAGGCAGGAAGATTCCAAGTTTCAGCCCAGCCTGGGCAACCCAGTAACTTAGGAAGACTTGTCTCAAAATAAACAAAAAGGGGAGAGGGGGTAGCTCAGTGGTAGAGCACTTGCCTAGCATGGGCAAGGTCCTGGGTTCAAACTGCACTACTGCAAAAAATATTTTTTATGCTACTACATTTTGGGGATGTTTGTTATGCGGCAGTAGATCAAGAACTTCCTGATAGAAGGCTATGGCAAATTACCAAGGATGGGGGAAGTTTAGCACAATAAAATGTACGGTATAGTATCATTTATTCCATTTACTTAAGACAATGATTTCTAAAAGATTGTATTTTCTGTCCATTTAAATGTACCAAGGAAAGATCTAGAAGGGTCCAGGCCCACTAGGATTAAAGATTCTGGTCAACAAGGGGGCATCAGCTGGCTCTGAGAGTTTTAATATTTTAAAAGGAGAAATTTAATATTTAATGTTTTACTTTTAATATTATATTGAAAATTTAATATTTTACAAGGAGTAAGAGAAGAGAAAGGAGAGGAAAATAGAGATTTAGACATGGAGAGGCAGAGTGGGCAGGGACTCCTGGACCGGAACAGGAGGGAAAGGAAGGCACAGAGGCAGCAGGTGACATCGGATCCCCTAGCTCTCCCGCCCTCCAGCCCCACTATAAATCCCTGCCCACCTTGTCCCCGAGTCTGCGCCATGGCGATGGCAGTGACGGGAGGTCACCCCCTGACCCCGGCCCGGGTCCCCCCCTTCCAGCTCCCCGCCTGTGGCCCACACCAGCCCCCCAGCTCCATGCGGGGACTGCGGCCACCCTGCCAGGAGCCCAGCCTGCTGCACGTGCCCACGGTCACCATGGGCCTTGGCCTCCGGGTGCTGGCCCAGCAGCCTCGGGTCCTGTTGGAGGAGGCCCTGCTCTGGGAGACAAGGACAGAGGTCCCCGAAGACCCCAGTGTGAAGTGGGCAGAGCCCAGTGTGACCCCAGACCTGCTGGAGACCCCCAGAGCACCACCTCCCAGCAGGTTCTGGAAGCCTCTGAAGGTGGACGCAGTCTTAACGTTATTGATGGTCAGCGCTTTCCCTCCATGCCCAGCTGCCTGCCTCCAAATGCTTTGTTCCCTTCACTTGATCTTAGCCAAAAGGCCGAGAAGCGATGATGCTTTTTTCCCTTAACCCTGCCTCAAGACCTCTGGGGGGAATCTTTGTTGTCACCCTCATTTGCAGATGAAGCTGCTGAGACCCAGAGAAGTCAGGCAAGCTTTCCAGAGGTCACACAGCCTAGACTGGCATGGAGGCGGGGTGGGCTGCCCAGCACCTCCACAGCCACCCTTCACCTGCTCCATCCACCAGGCCTCCTGCCACCCCTGCTGGCCCTCTCCCTCTCTCAGTGGCAAAAGGAGGAGAAGGGGGAGGAGGGGGGAGAGGAAGGGACAGAAGAGCCAAGAGCGGGGACAGAGAAGTCACCTTGCCTCCCACTACAGGTCCCCTCCTGCCTCTCCTGGCCCAGGGGAGGCCATGCCCCAGCCCCAGAGCACCCTCAGAAGGACCCTGAAGGACCTGCACCAAGATGCGTGGCCCAGGACCCCCCACCGCCAGAGCAGGAGGCTGCCCCTTCCCCGGCCTCAATTCCCTGGTCAGTGAGATGGGAGACAAACCGGACTTCTCCTGAGCTCAACCGAGGACATGAAGAGAAACAGGTTGGTAAAGGGGCAGCTTCCAGCCAGCGTGGAGCGTGCACCTGTCATCCCTGCGCTCTGGGAGGCTGAGGTAGGAGGATGGCAAGTTCAAGCCCAGCCTGGACAATTTAGTGACTTATCGAGACTCTGTCTCAAAATACAAAATAACGGCTGAGGATTTAGCTCAGTGGCACTGCACCTGCCTCGCAAGCACAAGGTCCAGAGTTCGATCCCCGGTACCAAAAAATAAAAAATAAAAATAAAAAGGGCTGGGGTGTAGCTCAGTGTGAAGGTCCTGGGCTCCATCCGCAGCACTGCAAAATCAGCAGAAGGGGAGGGCGCTTTGCAAATTTGAAGGGCTTTGGGATCCAAGGCAGCGAACTGAACTGAGGATACTCCCATAGCTATCCTGCCCGAAGGCCAGGCTCCATATCTCCCAGGGGCCACTGTCCCCATCCCCGCCCCCCGTCAGTCTAGCAGCCTTGTGAGCTCCGGGTGGAGGTCTGTGGCTTGCACAGGACAGGCTGTGCTGGTCCCAGCCAGCAGGGGGCAGGACTCTCCCAAGAACAAGGCCCTGTGGTCACCAGATCTCCAGTGACCAACAGTGGACAACGTGGCTGGGAGCTCGGGGAAAGGGATGAAACGACCAGGTCTGGAGACCAGGTGCCACATGGGCAGAACTCAAACTCCAGCCGGACACCATGGCACACACTTGCCATCCCAGCTCCTCAGGAGGGTGAGTCTGGAGGACCTCAAGTTCGAAGCCAGCCTGGGCAACTTAGCAAGAAATCTTCCGTCAAAATAAAATAAAAAGGCATGGGGTGGAACTTGGTGGTGAGCACCTGCCTAGCGTGTGCCAGGCCCTGGGTTTTATTCCCAGCACCAGAGACCACAAAATTAAAATAGAATTGATCTCGAACCTTTTGAGGAACACATAACACCATTAGCCTCACCATGCAAAGACACAGAGAAAAAAGAAACCACAGGCCAATACTGCTCATGAACATAAATAAAAAAGTCTTTATTGGAAAACTGAAAAATTGAATCCACCCATCTACACAGAGGATTAATGTAAAGGCGCATACCTGCCATCCCAGCTACTTCGGAGGCTGAGGCAGGAGAACCAGCCCAGGCAATTTGGCAACTCAGCGACAACCTGTCTCAAAACAAAAAATTTTAAAAGGGCTGGTGATGCATCTCAGCACAAAGGCCCTGGGTTTCATCTCCAGTACTGCAAAGGGGAGGGGGGTATCCACCAGCTGCAATAAATGGACCTTTTGTTTGTTCATTTTCTTGAGACACGGTAGTATCGCTATGTAGTTCAAACTAGCCTTGAACTCACTTGGTACCCAGGCTGATCTTGAACTCATAGCCGTCCTCCTGCCTCAGCCTCCCAATAGCTGGGACTGCACCACCATGCCCCACAAATGAACTTTATTTAGATCCAGATTTGAACAGTGTGAAAAAAATATTACAAGGCAATCAGGGGAAAGAAGTAGCAGCTGGATATTTAAGAATATTAAGGAATTACTGTTAATACGTTAAAGGGTGACAGTGGGATTGCCCGTTATGTTTGGGGTTTTTGGGGTTTTTTTAAGACCTGATATTTTCGCCATGCAATGTTTACTGGTGATGGGGACTGCGCAGCAGCTGGGGTTGCCTCACCCTGGTCTGTCCAGAAGGATGGAGAGACTGCCTCAGCCGGAGGCCCCGTGCTCTGCGGATGGGTACACAGCCTTCAACCTATGACTCACTTTTGTTTGTGTTTGGAAATGTTCTGTAATAAAAGATTAACAGAAGTAAGAGGTCCCTTCACAGTGTTTCAGGGGTTGTTAATGTGTATCAGGGGAGAGAGGTTTGTTTTGTTTTGTTTTGTTGTCGTACGGGAGCTTGAACCTGGGGCCTTCACACTGAGCTCCATTCCTCAGCCCTTTCTGATTTTTTGCTCTGAGACAGGGTCTCACTAAGTCACTAAATTGCCCAGGCTGGGCTTGAACTTGTGATCCTCCTGCCTCAGCCTTGCAGAGGGCTAAGATGGCACCACACCCCCCTGGCTCTTCTACCCCCTTTGGCCTACAGGAGGCACCCTTCAGGGCCCTGACCTCCTTCGAGATTAACCTTGCACTGGTGACTTTGTCTTCCTGCCCTGTGATGGCAGTGGTTGCGTGCGGACACAGCATCCCAGATGTCTTGCCCTGAGCCTGCTGTTACACAAAGAGTGACTCTGGAAACCTCCTAGCTAATCCCATGGTTGCTGGCCCAGTGTCAGGCAGCCTTCTAAATATCCTATGCACTCAATCCTTCCAACTGCCACAGGGGCTCCTCACCAGATGGAGATCCTGGAGCTCAGAGAGGTTAGTCACTAGCCTAAGGTCACAGTGTGTAGCCAGCCACACCTGGGCCTGGCCCAGACCTCTGAAGCCCGAGCACCTAGCTACTCTAATTCCCTCTTAGGGATCCAGGACCTCTGAGAAGGCACTCGTCGTTGCTTCTGTGCCCACAGCCTCCCTGCGAGGCTGTGACAGCCATACTTGATTCCTGCACTTCATGCTGGAGAGACAGGACGAGGGGGTGGGCATTTAATTTTAGATATAATTACGCCATATCAGGGCTCCTACTGGGGGGCTCAAGACTAGAGGGACCCCCGCCAGGCACCCCCTCACACACACCTCCTCCCCGATGGCTATGCAGGGCTCCCACACCCCCACACAGTCAGCAGTCACTTCCCTGCCCCCAGGACCGCCCACAGCTTCCCCAGCGGGAGCTGCCCTTAACTCCTAGGTGGTCCATCTCCATGGCAACGGCCCCAAAGTAGGTGCTCTGTCTCCAGGGTAACCAGGTACCTGGCAGGCTGTGACCCAGCCTGCAGCCCCCTCCCACGCTCTCTCTCCCATGCCCCATCAAGGCAGCTCTGGGAGACAAGCCTAGGGGACCCTGCTGGGATGCTAGTCCCAAAGAGGCCAAGGGACAGCCCAAGGTCAACCAACAGGTGCCTTCGTCGTCCTGCCTGAGTACTTATTAAGTGCCAGGTCCCCACTCAGCTCAGGTGCAGTTCCTGTCCTCAGCTGACTCCCACTGGGGATCAGAAGGGAGAGACTCTGGCCAAGGAAAGAAAAGCCAGCGCCACACACTAGTCCTCTGGAAGGCTGAGACCGCAATTTTGAGCCCAGCCTGGGCAACACAGCAACTTATTGAGAACTTGCTTCAAAATAAAAAATAAAAAAGGGGCTGGGGATACAGCTATGTGTGAAGGTCCTGGGTTCCATAGCCAGTAGTCCAAAAAGAAAGAGGAGGGGATGTGGGAGGGAGGGGACATAAAGTCATGGTCCCAGGGAGCCACCAACGCCTCCAGCAAGGGACAGCGGTTAGTGCCACACATCACTCACTCATTTCTTCACTGATATTTATTAGCCGCTCACAGTGTGCTGGGGGCTGGAGATGCAGGAATGAAAGGGGAGGGCAGAGAATAAACAAGACAAATCAGCAAATTATAGAATAGCTCAGGAAATCGCTGCGGAGGCTGGGGAGGAGGGACAGAAGGTGGCAGGGGTAGCAGGATGAGTCAAGGGGAAGGGAGGGCTGGTGCTCCGGCTGAGGCAGGAACAGCCCGTGCAAAGGCCCTGAACCTCGTCCTAGCCTCCAGCCACTTCTGGAGGACAGAGGCACAGGGTGCCCTGACCTGCCCCTCTGTCACCGAGGGCAGAATCTGCAGCCCTGGGAGACAGAAACACTGTTTTTTTTTTTGAGACAAGATCTTTCTATGTAGCCTAGGCTGGCCTTGAATCTGCAGCAGTCCTCCTGCCTCAGCCTCCTGAATTGATTTTTTTTTTGGTACCAGGAATCGAACTCGGATCCTCAGCCTCCTGAGTGCAGGGTTCACAGACCTACATCACCAGGCCAGGCTAAGACAGGAACTCTTCTGAGCTGCCATTTCACAGATATGGACACTGAGTCTGGAGGGGAGAACTCTCCCATGGTCACAGGGCTGGGACACAGGAGGACCTAGACTCCATCCCAGGGATCTTTCCTCGTGTTCCTTGGGGCAGCCTCCTGGTCCCCAGCTTAGATCAGCGGCCAGGCAAATCTGTTGCCCTCCCATGCCTTTGTGCTGTGTCACAGATCTGTCACCCCTGCCCCTCTGCTTGGTACACAGTAGGCACTCAATGAACATTTTTTCCCAAGAGACCAGAGAGGCAGAAATCAGAGCCTCAGGGGCCCAGAGAGGGACAGTGACCTCCCTGAGGTCACACAGTACCTCAGCAGCCCCTGGCCCCACACTCTGGGGAGAGGGGTCACGTCCTCTTCCTGGACCTCTCCTCAGTCGGCTGAGGAAGGCGCCCACCCTGTACCTGGTCCCAGGGGTCCCTGGCCTTCGGCCTCTCAGGATGCAGTTTCCGGGCTGCTGGCCAACGTGACAGTCTGGGAACGGAGCCGACTTGAGTCACAGGTGGCAGAGCAGATGCCAAGCCACTGCCAAAGCTGAGGAGGATGCAGAGGGCAGGGAGATGGGGGTGGGGATGGGGTGAGCAGTGCAGGGTGAGCAGTGCAGGCTAACTGGGGACACTCCGTGTCTCACCCTCTCTCTGCTCATCAGAGGCACCGTAAAGTGTCTCCCCACCCTGGGAACGGTGACAGAGGCACTAGCCACCAGTGCCTGGCAAGTCAGGACAGGCCCTGTCCTGAGGGTCTGGACGCCCCGCTCCTGGTCCTCCTGCTGCCCACTAGGCAGCCCCAGCTTCCTGGCCCAGGGTGGGAATGGGGACCCGGTGAGGACTCAGTGCCGGGTGCCTTCCATCAAACAGAGCTCCGAACCCCTTCTTGTCTCAAGCCTGGAAACACCCATGGCTCCCCAACTATACACAAAAGACTCCTGCTAAAGCCAGGCGTGGTGGTGCATGCCTGTCATCCCAGCACTCTGGGAGGCTGAGCCAGGAGGACTCCGAGTTTCAGTCCAGATTGGGCCACTCATCAAGACCCTATCTCAAAATTTAAAATAAAAAAGCGCTGGGCCGGCGATTTAGCTCAGTGGTTCCGCTGCCAGCCTCCCAAGCACAAGGACCCGAGTTCGATCCCCGGTACCAAAAAAAAAAAAAAAAGAAAGAGCTAAAATAAAAAACTGCTGTGGATGTAGCTCAGTGTGAAGGCCCAGGGTTCCACCTTCACTATTGCAAGGAAGAAAAAAAAAAAAATGAGGTGTGCAAACAGGATCCTGAGGGTAATAGGGAGCTACAGGAGGTTCTGGAGCCCAGAGGTTAAGCTGCCCTCCGTGGCCGCCTGGGCTCGGGAGCGGCAGACCCTGGAGATCCAGCCTAGGGGGTGAGAGGAGGTGGCGGGTTCGCGGGTTCCAGACCGACCAACCGCCGCTCTCCCTGGTGTCTCCTCCCCCGCGGTCTGTGGGGCCAGGGGGGTCCTCGGGCCGATGTGGGCGCGGTGGCCCGGCTGCGTTTCCACCTGTGCCCACGTGTCCTCAGCACACCTGCGGCCTCGCTGCGCATCCCCGCGCGCCCCAGCCCCGCGCGCACGGGGTGGGGGGGGCTGGCGTCAGGCGCGCGCGGCGGGAACGCGCGCGGCGGAGGAGCCCGGGAGGCGGCGGCGGCGGCGAATCGTGTCTGCTTAGGGGCCCCGGCGCCGCAGACCGCGCCGTGTCCGCGCGGAGCCGCCCAGGTGAGTGACGGCGCCGCAGCCAGCCCGGACCGCGGCCCCAGGCGCGCAGCGCCCCGCGCACTCCTCTCCGCAGGCCCCCGGCTCTCCCCCTGGAAACTTCGGGGACCCCTAACCGCATGGGGTCCCCCTGCCCTCCCGGGGGCGACGCAGAGGAACGGGGAGCCGGGTGGGCACCTCCCGAGGTGGTGGAGACCCAGGGGGAAGATGCACTCCTCTCCATGGAGACCCTGGTTGGGGCCAGGGGCGTGGGGACCCGGCATGGGAAGGGAGCCCCCAGCCTGCGCCGCTCTCTGCCCCTGCTCTGGGGGCGCACAGTAGAAAGGCAAACGGGGTGTCTGGTGTTTGGAGTCCGCACCGATTGGCAGCGTCGCTAAAGCCTACAGAGCTGAGCAATCAGGAGGGAGGGATTCAGGGTGCGGGGCTCAGCCCCTCCTCCGCGGGCCTGTGTCGGGACATGGGGGGCTCTGTCCATCTCAGAGGCCGGGCCTGGGTGCCCCGGGGCCTCTGGGCCTGGCCCGGAGGTTGGGGGCGCTGCGAACCCCATTCAACAAGTTGTGGGGGGAGTACCTTGTGCCTCATTATGGGCACAAGGAAGATTCAGGTCCCTTGGTGTCCATGGACCCCCTTACAACTAAGCTTCAAGACTGGCGCCTGGGGCACTAAAGTGCAATTGTTCCCCCTCCCCAAGTCCTGAGGAATGGGAATTTCGGGGAACAGGGGCCCTGGAACCTGCATGTCTAACCCACAGCCTCCAGTGAGCCTGCTGTTTGAAGAGTCTGGTGTGGAATGACCCCAACAGGAGACCATCAAGGGGCCTGGTGGGGGGACTTTGGGGACAGTGGAGCTGGGGGAGCAGCCCCTGGGGGCTCCTTGGAAGAAGGCAGCAGCCAGCTTGTGAGTGACAGGAGGCAGAGGACCCAGACTGGAAACTGGTTCACAGAGTCCGGGCTATCTGGGGCAAGGATGCTTTGTCCCCCTCTGAACCAAAGCAGGAGCCATCAGAGACCCCTGGGGATCCTCTAAGGACCTGGATGGCATGGGGACATCCAGCTCAGGAGGGCTAAACCCAGACTCCTCACCCGATTTTCTGTTTCCTGTCCCCACTGGTGCGGTGGGGCAAGCATCACCCCCTCTCTGAAGGGAGATGAGGGTCACCGAGCCCTGGCACGGCGAATGACACAGATGCTCAGAAACACGGGGTTGAGGGGTTCTCACCTGCAGAATGAGGGTGGGCACTGCAGTCCACCCCCAGGGCACCCCGGCATCCAGAGGCACCTGGCGGAGTGGGAACAGAAAGCAGATCTGGGCTGAGGTTGGATGTGTCTTCCCACAGCACTGTCACCCCCGGGCACCCCTGAGTCACCGCCCCGTCACCCGCTAGAGCGCCTCTCCGAGGACACCAGGAGCCCAGCTTGTCTCGGGTGGGCCCCAGCAAGCCGCCCACCACCCCACATGGCACTCATGGGCCCTGGTGGAGCGAAGAGCTGGGATTCTATGGAAAGGAGCTGGTACCCGATTCAGGTTCCGTGCTGATTCTGTCCAGCCGAGGAATTGTAAGTGAGCTGGGGTCCACTCGGACCCTTGGAGTCCTTTTCTCTGAAATAAACTTCATTATCCATCCTTGGGCCTGGTGGGTGAGCAGCTGCAGCATACAGTAAGTAGGTGCTGGAAAAGTGCTTCGGGGTCGAGAGCCCCTCCCGAAGCTGATAGGCAGTGCCTGAGCACAGGCTAGCAAGGAAAAGTGGGTCGGGAGGCCCCTTCCCCCCAAAGAGCTGACAGGGAGTAATAGCAGATGGAGACTAATTAGGGCTTAATGAATTGTCATGGTCTGAAAACCCCGGGAGGGCCTAGATCTAGGACGGAGGACGGACCAGTCCTGGGGGGCCGGCAGTGCGTCCCCAAAAATGGACCTCAGAGAGCAACAGTGTGTCCCCAAAAGTGGGCCCCGGAAAGGCAGGTACTGAGACACAGGTGGGGGCCCTAATCCCTCCTCCCTCTCCCAAATGGTGGGGGCCCTGCGAGGGTCCCAAGCTGTGAGGGTCATACCACACTTGGTGGCCTGAAAGCTCAAAGATTTCTATCTCGTGGTCCTGTGGTCAGGGGACTGACACAGGCTCCCAAGGCTGAGTCCAGGCACCAGTGGCAGGGCTGCTTCTCAAGAGGCTCCGGGAGAACCAGGTCCCCGTCCTGGCTCCTGGAGGACCCCGCAGCCCTTGGCTCAAGGCCCCGTCCTCCCTCTGCAGAGCCGGCAGCTTGGCGTCTTCAGCCCCTCTCTGACTCTTAGCCTCCCGCACCAGTTCAGGGAGACGCCGGGGGACGCTGGGTCCTGGATGGTCCTGGATGACCCCCTTGGGGTCCTTCACGTGACCCCATCTTCAGGGTCCCTTCTGCCACCGTGGGTGACAAGGCCACAGGTCCCAGGATTTGGATGTGAACATCTTCGGAAGCCACCATTCTGCTGACCCCAGGCCCCATTTCCCTGTTAATTGTCCTCCCGTAGCTCAGCCACTGTGTGACAATGGGCTTTAGATCCTTCTGCTCCCATAGACAGAGTGGCAGGGCTTTTGTGTTTCGCTCAATGAGAACAGCACCTGGCATACAGAAGGAGCGCATTAAATGCTTTTTGAACTGGATGTGAGGGAGCAAACCTGTCATCCTAGCACTCTGGGAGGTCAAGACAGGGGGATCTTGAGTTTTAGCCCAGTCTGGGCAACTTAGTGACTTATGAGACCCTGTCTCAAAATAAAAAAATAAAAAAGGCTGGAGATGGAGCTCAGTGTAAAGACCCTGGGTTCAATCCCCAGAACCACCAAAAACTTAAAAAGCACTAACTGGGAGCAGCTCATTGGTAGCCCATCCTCTGCACTCCCCCAGAAAAGCCCCGAGCAGAACACTTGGCATAGGGCAGCCATGCCCCTTGAGGCCCAGGCCACCGCAGTGACCTGAACCCCCTCAGGCTGCACTGCTGGGCTGGAGGAGGCGTCCAGACCTCCGGTCAGGGGTGGCAGGGTCTGTGCAGGCCCGGCCCTCGCCTCCCCTCCTGGCCAAGGCCGCTGCCTGCCCCGCCCTGCTGTGCTGCGGCTCCTGCATGGTAATGAGGCTGTGTCCTTGAAACTCGCCTTCCTGGACCCCCGAGGCCCAGCGGTGCATGGTGCGGCCTTGGAGGCTGGAGCCTGAGCAGGGTCCTCGCTCGCTCATACGTGGATCAGCCCTGGGTGGGAGGGAGCAGGAAGGTTCACGGCCACCAGTCCTGGCTTTTCTTTTTTTTTCCTTTTTCTTTTTCTTTTTCTTTTTCTTTTCAGTATTGGGAATGGAAGAACCCAGGGCCTTTACACTGAGCTCCATCCCCAACGCTTTTGATTCTTTATTTTGAGACAAGGTCTCACTGAGTCGCTAAGTTGCCCGGGCTGGGCTCAAATTTGCCAGCCTCCTGCCCCAGCCTCCCAGAGTGCCAGCATGACAGGCGTGCAGCACTATACCTGGCCCTGGCTTTGTGCCTGTTCCAGGGTGGCTCATCCTTGTTCCCTTGGCCAGGGTACAGAGGGGAGGTGACATTCCCCGAGGACACAGCTGTCCCCTGTTGCCTAACGGTCCTAGAAGTGTCACTGTGTGCTTGTTTTACCAACTGGAAACTCCATGAGCTTGGGATCTTGGCTTTGCTCCTCGCTGCTGTCCCATTCTGAGGAACGCCATGCGTGCATATGCTCAAGCCTCAGTTTCTCTATCTGGAAAGCAGAGTCAGCCGAGGAGCTGACTGCAGAGGGCTGAGGTTTGGGGGTTTAGCCCAGGGCTGGGCTGCAGAAGCACTTGGTCCTGGCCACTTATCTGCAGCAGCCCAGAGAAGGGGTGCCAGGCCTCTCTGAGTTCCCCGCTCTGTCTATGTCACCCAAAGCCATGCTGGACTTGCTGACCCCAAAGCCTCTGTGTTGGCAGAGCAGGCAGAAGTCAGGGTCTCCCCTGAGCTGGGCATGGTGGCACATGCTTGTGATCTCAGCACTGGGGAGGCTGAGGCAGGAGGATCGCTGCCAGCCTGGGCTACACAGTGAGTTCAAGTCCAGCCTGGACTGCATACTGAGACCCTGTCAAAGAGAAGAAAAAAGAACTCAGAGTGCCATGGAAGATGGGGTCCCACTGTCCCGGAGAGCCAGGGAAGGAACACAGGTTGCAGGGATGTGTGGTGAAGATTTGCAACTCCTCTGCTTGCTGTGTGGGTCTGGGCACATCGCTTGCCCTCTCTGGACTCCGCTCCCCACTCTGTATCAGGCAGACTCACCCTGCTCTGTCTGGGTTCACATGTGGCTGTCATGAATGGCGGAGGTCCTGGCGTGGAGCAGGTGGAGGCCAGGGATGCTGCTCAGCCCCTACAGTGCCCGGGACACCACTGGAGGTCACAGTGACAGATTGGCAGGGGCAGGAGACAGGGGAGGGTAGAGCTGGGGACAGCTCAGTGTTTCTGGCCATGAGGTCAGGACGTGGTGACCCATCCCAGGGGACATGGGGGACACGGCAGAGGCCCCAGGCTGACAGGAAGAGTGGCTTCCGGGAGCTGCCGGTGGCCGTGGTCAGTGAGCAGAAGTCCCAATCCCGAGAGGCCGGCAGGAGGCGCCCAGGTGGCCGGCTGGCCCCTGGGGGTACAGAGTAAGAGAGGGGTCCTGCAGGTTCCTTCCCACTGGGCCTCAAGGGGAGGCAGGATGGGGCAGAGAAAGTGAAGATCAAAGCCCGTCTACCGGCCCGGCTGCCTGCCTTCCTGTCTGGCACTGTCCCTTCTCCTGCCCTTCGCCCCTGCGGGGCCCTCTCCTGGTCAGCGCTCCCCGACCTGCAAGTACCTGATTTTCTCATTGGGTTTAGGTGGGGATGGAACCCAAGGACTTCACATTGAGCCCCATCCCCAGCCCTTTTTAGTATTTATTTTGAGACATGGTCTCGATAAGTCCCTAAGTTGCCCAGGCTTGAACTTGTGATCCTCCTGCCTCAGCCTCCTGAGCAGCTTGGTTGACAGG